TCTCTCTCTCTTTCGCCACGGTTTGTTTCTTCACAGTCCCTTTGTGATCCCCGCCGTGGGAACGTCCTTCTTCCCAGCGTCGTCCGTCAGGGCCAGACAGCTATCACTCAAACCTCGCTCCTCTCCGCCTCTCACTCTCCACCGTTATCCAGTCTTAGCTGTTCTTGGTTTGTGCGTTCTTCGAGAACGAAACGAGATACACAATTACACACAAGAGTCGTGAATTGAGCTCGACGGCGAGTCGTGGTAGCGGTGATTGTCGCAGAAAGACAGGATAGATGCTTGCATCAAGTGGTGTTTGTGATCTCTTTTGTTGTCGAGCGATGTCCGAAATGTGGTTGCCTCATCCCGCAGCATTATACTAATATTGCACACTATACACTGTGCTGAGTGTGCAGTGCAGTGGGAGCACAGCCTTCTGCTGTGTGGTCGAGAGTAGACATAACGAACAGCGCGGTCCATCTCATCCCAACAGGAGGCACGGTCAAGCGGGCAGCGAGTCCAAGTCCGTCCTTTCCCAACGGACGGGGATCCATCGATCTCAAAGAGGACAAGACAGCCATTCCATCCCTTTGGACGAAATCGGAACAAACACCCAAAACACACCATCGTTGTTTGAAGTAAAATAAACGGCAAACATCACCGGCCCCATTGTTTGACATTCTGTCAGTTAGCTGGAACGACCTACCCTACCTCAGTTCCCTTTTCGCATCGGGGAGAAAGTTACGGACTATTTCCCGCGGGTGTTCCACTTTTGTCGACGGCCTGGCCCAGCTCGTTGGGCACTCCCCTCCGAATGCCCGGAAACACGGACAGCTGAACAGCTGTCTTTCAAAGGAAAAGTAAATGGTACGCTACATGTTCCGTGGGTGGAATGGCGGCTCGACAATGTGCGTCCAAGTAAGGCGTCCGTGGGCCGTACCATTGCGGGTAGCGCCTTTGGACCTGTAGACCTAGCCCAGCCCCTAATATCGCTAAGATGTGGGCCAAGTTTTGCACGGCGTTTCATTGCCACTCGCATGTGTCTACTGCGCTCCTGTGGGCGGAGGCGAAGGCAGTAAGATGAGTTAGTGAGGCGGCACCCAGCATGCAATGGCAGGCTGCCCTGAGTGCCCTGTCTGTAATGATCATAATCTTTCTCAAATGACCGTCGGAAACGGGGCGGGGTGTTTCGAGGGAGAGACGTGGGGTGGACCTAGACACGAGTTCCGACTACTGCACTGTGACTTAGTGAAATGACGTATGGTGAGCCTTCTTAACTCGGAAATCTCGAGAACCTTGGCGTGGCCTCCGACTGCCGTGTGATATGTTTGGGTTTTTGTGGGCGATCCAGCGTAGGAACTAGCAAGCCTATTGAGCTTCCATATGGTCTGACTTTTATGCGCCTGTATGAACGCGGTTTGAATGCTGGCTCAAGCTCTAACCAGTGCTTGCCGTAGTGAAGGACAGGGATCTAGGTGAAAAACCATTTAGCCTCAGGACAGGTTTCGACTGTTACACGCCTGTATGGACGCGAGTTTAAACTGGACACACGTTCCGACCAGCGCGAGCCTGCGCAGCTGCTCAGCATGCTGCGAGCTCGTTGTTTTTCTGCGTGTTGTTCACCGAGTGATTCGTTTGTGTGACACCATGTATTTCACAGCCCGCTGCTCGCCACCATCGATAACAGACAAAACAAAAGACACTGCCTTTTTAGGTTAACTGTATCCGATTAACTAGTCAGCACCATATACCGATAACATCGGTGTTGTGTGGGTACTCAGGGTAGGTACTGGATTGAATACTTCTATCAGATAATCTAAGTTTCTTTTCAATATATGTCATGGGCTGATGCAGTCTGCTCTGAATGTTTTCATTGCTGGCACGTGTATGATCTCATACGTTTCTGATTTTCAAGATTGATAGTGGCAGGACTCCTTTTTGTCACCTTGTTTGTGTATTTTAATTCCTAATTAAGGTTGTCATAAAAAGGAGATTGCATTGAATGATGGGACATGTGCCTAATTGAATCCTTAATTGTAGTTGTTAATTGGTAAAATAAAATTAACTTTCACCTTTGAGAAAGCTTTCTTTAAGTGGGCATGCACTTGAGATTTTAGTTTTTCTTTTTTAACTACCGAGTAATTCGCTGTTCAATCTGGGACTTGGGAGCATGACACACTTTAATCCACTACCATACGAGGCTAAAAAGGGATAAAATTATTCCTGTTAATATTTAGTCCTCACATCCTGATATCATATTCAGTTTTCATAGCTCAGATCACACCTCCCCCGAGTGGAGCTGGCGCTCTGCGGGTGAGCAGCCGGTCTCTCGCTCCCTCTCCCTCCCTCCACCGGAAGAGGACGGTAGTGCGTGTGTATCAGCCGCAGCCGTCACTCTCAATTGGCGACATCCGCATTAATTTGGCGCCGAGAGCGCCGCGGTGACATCCGATACGGCTGGTCATCGCGCAGCATCGGAGAGAGAGGGAGAGAGGAGCGCCGGCGTCGAGGTCGCTGGAGACTATCACGCCGCCACTAGAAGGTATCACCACCCGGCACTGCGCACGGGGCGAGGCGGGAGGCGACTGGCTGGCTGGGCACTGGGCAGCAACGTTCAATGTGTAATTTGCATAGGTATGACTGATGTTTAGGGGCGTCGTTGATTGTACCGACAGCGGCAGTCTATAATGACGGATGTTTTGGCATTTTGGCTGGCGCCGTATACTGGCGTCTGTCGTGCTGCTGTACCTCGACACTGTTTTCTTGCAGTACTACTGAGTTCTTCCCGGGGTTGTACTGACAGCAGTACTGCACCGCTGTTTTGCCACCGTTTCTACCGAAGGCCGCGGTAGCCGCTGGGATGGTCAGTGGACACGAGGGACAGGACAAAGGACAGCGGTGGACAGCCCGGCCAGGCGCCGACAGATCGATCCGACACGAGTGGTCCGGAGAAAGGAGACGTGGAGAGGGGTGGGGAGGTGCAGGAAAGACGGGCAGAAGGTGGAAGATGGAAGATGGAAGATCCAGGATTATGCTACCTCATTGAACTTTGCCTTTTTACGCCCAATTTAGGCGGCAGTGCACACAATTTCAGCAATAGTACAGGCGATTTCGACAGTTTGGTATAGTCTGTCTATTGCGAACTGTCGAAATCGGTTGCACTATTACTGAACTGTGTGCACTTTGTCTATATTTGGCCGTAAAAGGGTGTAGAATCCTTCATCTGAGACAGCGCATTGTTCGTTTATTCAAGTGATCTCCCTAGCTCCTACGCTTGGCCACTTCAGTGTTACGCCAGGCTGCTCAGTACTCAGTGAAGAGCGTGACTGACAAGCCGGAGATAGGGATCGATTCTGGGCTGCTCCGGCCATCAGTGAGCCCCACTGGGGACATGAGCCACCACGGACAAGACTGAAGTCTTGACGGTGGTCTGCGACCATGGTCGCCGTGTGACCGCCCACAGAGAATCGAACGGCCCGACGGAGTGACGTCATGAGCCGAAAAGATGCGGCCACTTAGTCGTAAAGCAGCGGGACCGGCGGCGCACGGCGGAGGCCGCTATAGTTCAGCGGAGATGGCGCTCGAGCCGCCCGGCGGCTTACACCGGCCGACAATCGGGACAACATAGATTACGTGCTAAATACACGGATCAGCCCGATCCAGCGTCAGAAATACCCTGTAGTGGAGCGAGGGCTTGTAGCACAACGCTGTCTTTTTATATTGAAACAGCGGGCCGTCGCCTCGGAGATTAAGACACGGTCGTGCGACGGAGCGCGGACCTCGTTTGGGTGGACACAGTCACAGCAGGCTGTCCGAAATTGAGCGCTTCATCACGGACGGAAGCCTCTCGAGGAGCGAGCTGCATCGGGCGGAGTGAGATTTAATCTCTGTTTAGGAGCAACCAGGCTGAGATGGTGGAGTGGGTAAGAATGGCAAAGCTATGGAAATAGCCCTTGAAATGTTAACCCTCGCCCGTAAACGGCGATCTGCCATCTTCGCCCATGCAGGGGGGGGGGTTGGTGCGACCCCCCCTTGGCGTTTGAAAACGGAGCGTCGTAGAGCTTAGCGGAAAAGACCAACGGATTGCTCTCGCCGAGATCTCGCGATTGGTGGTATATTTTTTGGTACTAGGTCAACATTTGACCTACTTTTGACCGGTCAAAGGTCAAATTTTCGGAAAAATAGACTTTTTCAACTTTCCGCGGCGATTGCGGCAAAACGGTGGGAGATATCGACTTGAAACCTTCACTATCGTGTTCCTTGATCAATTCTCTATCGTTTGGTATGTATTTCGTTTCCCTAGCTCTAAAAATGGCGCGTTGGGAGCGCCGGAAGTCGGCAAGGTCACAGTCGGCGGCAGAAATTCGAAAAATCAAAATTTAAATTTTTGAAATCTGATTGTATTTTTGGATTTTGGAGGTCCATTTGCTCCCTATAGAAGCTAATATTGCTGCATATTCCCATTGAGGTGACAAGAATTAGCAAAATAGTGGTTCGGGCGCTTTTCAAAAATAGTACCGGACGCTGTTCCTCTTTTGACGTCATTCATAGCTCCGTGACCTGACCTGACCCGGTCAAGTTTCTTATACCATATGATAGCCAATACTTGCCCCAACATGCATGGGAACAACATGGCCACGTCAGCTTCCAACATGGTTGGAAGCTGACGTGGCGGTGTGGTGGTCGGATCCTGTTTCGAGCTCCCTTGAACTTGGTCCTATCTTTCCTTTCCCAGTGGTAAGTAGCGGTTGAATGGCCATTTTTTGAGTGTCTGAATGTTTGAATTGTCTAGTTAAAACGTTGTCACTCAACAAATCAGCGTTGAATTGAATTTATTTCTATTTTCTTGTTGAAGGGTTCAATATTGGCGCGCTACCAAACTTGGTTTTCGGCTGGCTACCGATCAGCTGACTACCCACAGTGACGTAAAAAGATTCTCCCGTGATCTGATTGGCTGTTTGGCTACAGCTGGTGCTGCCATCTACCCTTCTTCAACGTTCGATAAGGCAAACCTTGACGCTCCAAAATAGTGGCTCGCTACCTGCGTGTGAGGCCACGCCCTTCTCTGTGCTAGCTACAGTATAGTTACTGGTGAGTTTAGGTTGTTTGTAATAGATACTTAAAAAAATTTAGTTCTGACATTTTCTGCCAATTGACCATGCATCGTCAGACCTCATAGTTCAAGTTCTCCGCTCGGGGGTCATGCGTGGTGTCGATTTTGATTTATAATTTATGATGGTGTTGCTGAGTGAGTCACTTAGTTCATATCAATATTGAGCTTGTACTGTTTAGGATCTAAGGTGTTTATTATTTGATTACCCTCCTGAGGTTCCTGAACTCACTCGAACTATGGCTCCCACCCAAGGAGAACTGATTAAGCGTCTGAGTGCTGAGAATGCAGATCTTTCCGCTAAGGTTAATATGTTGCTAGAAAGAGTCGCTAAACTTGAAACATCCCTTGAGGCTGTCCTTGAAAAATGTGATGCCAGACACAGTGAGGCATGCACTCGAGTGGAGTCAGTTGAGGACAACCTCTGTAAACTCTCGGAGGACCAACAGGAGTTGAAGTTTGATCAGGCTTCCATTATGCTTCGACTCGAAAGTCAGCAGATGTATAGCCGCAAGCAGACCCTGCTCCTTACTGGACCAGCTGTGATCCCGCCTGCCTCTGGTCGGGGTGAGGATGTCAGGGGAACTGTGCTCAGACTTCTGAACCACCACCTTGGTATCACTGACATCCATCCTCGAGACATCTGTGCATGTCATAGGCTCAAAAATCCTAAGGTCATCCTTGTTAGATTCACTAGCCTTGACCATAGCGAAAAGGTATACCGAGCAAGAACCAAGCCAAAGGCAAGAGGCCTGTTGGTCTTCGAGTCACTCACTGCTGAACGTCTCTCAGTGATCGACATGATCAAGGCCCTGAAAGAGGAAGGTGATCCCCATGTCCTCTCCTACTACACCCAGGGAGGGAAAATCCTTGTTCGGACATCTGATGACAAGAGTGTCAGACCAGTCGAGATCCCTTTTGGCCTGAATAAGGACCAGATTAAGGCTTTGTGTGGGGGTGAACGCCTAACCCCAACTGCTGTAGCTGTCTGTGACCAATTTCGGTCAGTGAATTCAGGCTCCAACCCCATCCAGAAAGCTTCAAGCTCAAAGAGTAACCACTGGACTCTGGTCAAACCCCGCAGACCAAGGGCTGCCCCGGCTCCTGTGGAGGGTGCTAGCACTCGCCGACCTCCTGGACCCTTGGCAGAGGGACAGGCTCCTGCTGGGGGATCCCGGAGAGCACCATGGTCGGCTGGTGTGGGTGATGGTGCTGGCAATGCACCTGTAGCTTCTGCACCCACTGACTCCCAACCGTCAGAGCCACGTGCCACCCCTGGTATGCCATCGCAGCCAGCGTCTGCAGCTGCTGCCACAGATTCTGAGGTTGGGCTGCCCATTGGTCCTGTCCCACCAGATCAGTAGTCCTGATTGAGGCTAGCTGGTCACGAAACTGATTGATTTCCTTTGCTTCGGGTTCACCAACCCCACTGCATGTACCCCGAGTACCTGAACTTGTTTTCTTAAGTAGTGTATCCTGTCTCTGATTGTGGTTGCTGAAACCCCTCAGTTTATTTATTTATTATATATTATTATTTCAGTTCCAGATTTAGGTAATTGTTTGTTTTTTTCTTCAATCATTTGTGTTTACTGATTGGCATCTGTAATCTTCTCTACGAATAGTACTCTCTAGTCTTCTACCATTTCCTACAATGGAACTTACCATGTAATCCTTGAGGATGGGTTTCCCAAACTTGTTCCTGATGACTCTCCTATCCTACACAATATTCCTATAAGTATACCCCATTTACAATCTGTTTCCTCTAAATGCAAAACAATCCTGCCCTCATCCATGTCCCATGTGCTAGACAAAACGGACTTATCAATGGTTCACATTAATGCTCGCTCACTCCACCAAAACTTTGATTTTATAGTTGCTTTTGTTTCCAAGCAAAATATTAAAGTCGATATACTGTTGATCTCTGAAACTTGGCTCAAATCTGACATCACTGACTGTTACAGGATTGATGGGTATGAAATGATCCACTCCATACCCACTGATAATGTCACTGGCAAGGGCTGTGCCATGTATATCAAGAGTGAAATCTTTCCATACTGTGCAGTGATCGATGAGATGTCTGTATGCCAAACTGAGTTTCAATGTATTAGCATTCTTATTACTTTTCCACATGGAGTCCCATTTGTTGTGTGTACTCTATATAGGTCACCGTCATACCCACTTTCCCTTTTGATGCCATTTCTTGAAGATACCCTTGATAAAGTAGTTCAACTGAAGAAGCCATGCTTTTGGGGTGGAGACTTTAATGTGAATCTATTCAAATGCAATGATAATCATGATTCTAAGCAATTTTTAGATTGTATGAGCTCTCATGGCTTTTATCCTACTATCACTGTTCCTACGAGAATATCAACCACTCCACCCTTCCCAGCAACTCTCATTGATAATATTTTCACAAATGTTCTAGATGCCATCACATTTAGTGGGGCTATCTGTGCGGGGATCGCTGACCATCAAGCTGTTTGCTGCACTACCGACCTGGTCAAACAAAGCCCAACTGTCAAAGGAGCTGCATCCAGACCTAAATTTAACTATAATCGAATTGATGAACTCAAAGTAAATGTTCTCAACAGTCTGGAGGGCTTTTTGGAACTGGACGATCCAGACGACTGTGCTAGTAAGCTAATATCTGTAATACAGACCAAAGTCTCAGAACTCTCCTCAATCAAAACCTCCAGGAAAAGCATCCCCGTACAACCCTGGGTAACACCAGGGCTCCTACGCTCTATGAACACGAGGAGCACTCTTCTGAAGGCATTTCTAAAGGATCGCTCCAATGATAAACTGAATAAGTACAAGAAGTACCGTAATGCTCTGAGACTTACTTTGAGACATGCCAAACAAAATTACTACCGTTCACAATTTGAAAAGAATGCTGGCAATCCCAAGAGGCTCTGGGCTGATTTGCTAGAGGCTATTAATAAACGAAAAACACAAAGGGATCTGCCCAGCAGATTCGAGACTGAAAGCGGTACAGTCACAGCGCCTGATAGGCTGGCATGCATGTTTAACGACTATTACGCTCAAGTAGCCCCAACTTTGGATGCAGCTCTTGGCCCCTGCACGGTTGATCCTCTAACATACCTGAATGATGTTGCAGTTCCGAATGAATTAGCTTTTCAGCCAGTTAACCAAGCAGTTGTTTTAAACATTGTTGAAGGGCTAAAGGATTCTGGTGCTGGCTTGGATGGCATCAACAGTAAACTTTTAAAACATCTGATTCCAGTGATTCTTCCACACGTAACTCATTTAGTTAACACCTGCATCACTAAGAGCAAATTTCCAGCTGTGCTGAAAACTGCTCTGATTACTCCAATATATAAATCAGGCTCGCAATCGTTATTTTCGAATTATAGGCCTATCTCAGTGTTACCTGCCATTTCTAAAGTTCTTGAATCAGTGATACATTTTCAACTCCTTAGTTTTATCACTGAACATAACATACTTTTTGGGCAACAATTTGGATTTAGAGCCAATCACTCAACGTATATGCCCATTTGCCTTTTGCACGACATTATTACTGCCAAACTTGTTGCTGGCCACTCCACTGTGGGTATCTACCTTGATTTGGCTCGTGCCTTTGATACAGTAAATACAAATATTCTTCTTAAAAAGCTGTCAAAATATGGCATTACGGGTAATGCCCTGTCTCTTTTTTCATCTTATCTTACTGGTAGAAAGCAATGTCTAAAATTTAATGATACTATTTCGCGTACTATTGACGTTACGTGTGGTGTGCCCCAGGGTTCAATCTTGGGGCCAATCTTATTCCTTCTCTATATAAACGACCTTCCTAAAGTATGTGATGAAGCCAAATTTCTTTTGTTCGCCGACGATACAGCCATCCTCTACTCTGCAAAATCGCGTGCTGAGCTCCAACGTGCAGTTTCACGGTCGTTTCCAAGAGTACTTATATGGCTCCACGCAAATCGGTTGTCTCTTTCGACCTCCAAAACAGTTTACCAGCTTTACTCCCCTAGTAGTAATGAGATGGAAGGCCTTTCCATACCTGCTAAAGGTGTTAACTTAATGCGAGCCTCTACAGTAAAGTATTTGGGTATCCTAGTAGATGAAAATCTTAAATTCAAGTCTCACATTAGTAAAGTATCTTGCGTCATTAGTAGAAATATTGGCATAATGGGCCGAGCCAAATATCTCCTTAATAAGAGACTCATGATCCTCTTGTATAACTCCCTTGTCCTTCCCTACCTTAGTTATTGCCTGATTGTATGGGGCTCGAATTATGAATGTAACCTAATTCCTATCATCACTGCGCAAAAGCGAGCGATCAGGCTCATAGCTGGTGTGAGTCGCCTGTCCCATACCTCTCCACTCTTCCGTGAACTTAAACTTCTTAAGCTTTGTGATGTCTTAAACAAACAGCTGCTTCTTGTTTTACATGACTTCCTCTTTGACCGGTTACCTGATGCTATTTCGGTTAGGTTCTCCTTGTACATAAGTAATCATTCTCGTCCAGTTCGTAATCCCAGGCACTTCAATGAGCTGGTCTCTACGGACAACGGGGATGGGGTGCCTAATTATCGGTTACGCAATTATCGTTTATTTTCACCATTTTGTAGAGCACCAGTAATCTGGAACCAAGTAATTGCCTCGCGTATACCTAACCTTCGTGATATCCCCTCCAGTAAATCCCTTTTTAAGAAATGTCTTATGCATATCTTCATTGATGACTATTAGATTTTCCAATAACTCAGCTGTATTACTTGCTCTTGTCTTCTTTCTATTTACCCTTTTTTTCCATATTTACTTTTTTCCCTGATAGTTCTGATCCACCACCACCACATCCGTTGCTTCCTTGACTTATTGGCGTGCAGCGGGACCTCAGGAAGTTAAACAACCTATATCCCGCTGCACTTAGCCAAACACATTATGTCTAGTGTTAATCATAAACGGGATTAGCATTGCACTCCGTTTAGCATGTATGTATTGTTAGTTCATCGATATAGGTATACATATTTATTCATACATGAATTCATATACAGATTTACAATGGCCATTCAACACTACGCTACTCAAGTTTTCTTTCCAATTCTTTAAATACCCCAGCATCGTACCAGTTTGTACCTGCCTACGTTCCCGACCCCTGAACGATAATGTGATTGACCCCGGCCTAACGTTCCTCTCCGACCATCTGCCCCTACAGCTGAGCTACACGGCTGGACAGGGTCCGGTCGAAGCCCGGTGCCATGCTGCTGGGGGCTGCTGCGGCCTGCGACGGATGGCGGCTGTTGCTTCCGCTCCCTGAGGAGATGCCGTCCTTGTGGCGCACAGGGCGGCTACCCACGGTTGCAGCCCGATGGCTTCATTCTCGGGACGCGGCCCGTTGGATGTGCGACGACCGGCACCTTGCGACCGCTGCGGTGACCGGCAGCGGTGCCCCCTCTCCTGACTTGACAACGGACTACATCTTCGTGCTGCCATGGGGTGGCGCCACTGGTGGGACGAGCGCCACTGGTGGAGCAGGCGCCATCTCTGAGGCGGTACAGCCGACCGGCTGGCTAACGGCGTCGAGCGCCTGATGAATGCTGCGCTGAGCGGCGATACTGATTCGCCGCTCTCGAACTGTCGAAGTCCCAGTGAGCTTGTTGGACATGACTACGGGGCAGCCGACTAGACTTCATTCTCGGCCGCGGCCCGTTGGATGTGTGATGACCGGCACCTTGCGACCGCTGCGGTGACCGGCAGCGGTGCCCCCTCTCCTGACTTGACAACGGGCTACATCTTCATGCTGCCATGGGGTGGCGCCACTGGTGGGACGAGCGCCACTGGTGGAGCGGGCGCCACCTCTGTGGCGCTACTGCCGACCTTGGACCGGCGGGATGACGGCGTCGAACGCCCGATGACTGTGTGCTGGACGGCGATACTGAGTCGCCGCTCTCCGGGCACCATCCCCATCGACCAAGGCCCGGCTGGTGCTTGGCGCCGGGTGCCGGATGGCCGCTGCGCTCGGCGGCGGTGCTGGGTCGCCGCTCTCTGGAATGACCGCTGACTCGTCTTTTTGATCTCGTCTTTGTGTTACCGTCTGGTTAGGCACTGTCAAACTCCCCAATATAACCTTTAACACTAACTGTCCGTATTCTAACAAAACTAACATGTGAATCCTTTCCGACCAATCCCGTTTGACAGTGCCATAAATTATGAATTGTTCAATGTGTGATCCCAAATCATAATCAATAAACGGAACGGAACGGAACGGAAGTTTCATCACGATCCATCAACCGATGTCCGTACCACCGGCAGGAAACCTCGGGCGTTGGCACTCAGTTTGTGAAAATCCGGCCGGAGGCTGTTCCCTTTGTGACGTCATAACTCCGTGACCTGACATGACCCGGTCAAATTTTTTTTATCAAAGGATGCGCAAGGTTTGCCCCATTAGGTACCCAAAATTTGGCGGCGCTGCGCGCAGCCGTTTTTGCACTATTTCCGAAAAGCCTCAGGGGGGGGGGGGTTGCACCAACCCCCCCCCCCAACTACATGGGCGAGGGTTAAGCTAAATGCATAGCTTTTACAAATAAGTCCCAATTTCAACCCTTCATGTCAATGAGCATAAACGATATTTGTTACACATAAAAGGCGGCGACATCGGCACTTTGACTTTCTATAGCTCATAGCAGTGCTTTTCGACGTTTTGGGCACACTCCTGCCGGCCGGCCATCGTGGCTGCGAAGGCAGGCTCACCGCGCAGCTCTCCTTCAAAGTATCGGCGATGGTTGATATCGCTTTCGGTGCTTGCCAGTTGGCACGGTAAGATCTTTTGCTGAACTACATCCAATACGTGAGTCCGAGCTTCCTGCAGAACACGTGCTGCAAATCTAGATATTCCTAGCAGAGTTGTAACCGCCTGTTCCGACTCCTCCCCCGAGTCCAATCGTGCACGAAATCAGCCGGGTGCCTCCAGTCGGTTTCCTTGAGAGTATGACTGGAATGGACCACCTATCGTGGCGGTCCGGGGGTGTATGACCGGCCTGAGATGTCGGTCACGATTCCATTCTGACAGGCGGCAGGGACTGCCAGACGGCAGGGACTGACATACGGCATGGGCTGCCAGGTGGCAGCGATCGAGAGAACATAGGAGCTGGCAGTGGAAGGGGTTGTCTCTCTAGACGCACTATGATCCGTCCCTTCAAGGGGATGACGGGGTATCGTTCCGCTTAGAGAGGTTTAGACGATAGGAATTTAGAGGGGACGGAAACTATCCAAAGGACGGGGCACATCGTCCAGACTGACAGGAACTTCTGTTTCAAATGGGCGACAGGAGCTGGCTGTCCACTCAGAGGAGCGACAGTGGCAGTCCTTTCAGACTGGCAGAGACGCATGGACTTAGCCGGACGCTGCACCTTGACCGATGGCAACGGCTCGACTACCATTTATTATCCATCTTTCCAGAACAACGGCTTTCTCCTGACACGCTGACGCACGCTGAAAGGCCAGCACAGTCCCGGCTGACGTATCGGCGGCATATCTTACTTCCCGCGGAGTGCAATTTATTCATATCGCCCGCCGCCGTGGCATCTTATCCGGTGGCGCAGCGCAGACTGCACCGTGTCCCCGTGCAGGGAGCGCGCCCCAGGCCCCGATCGACCCGCAGCTGCTGTTGTAGGTGTTTATCACCCAATATCGGCAATCGTGCACCAGATCGAGCGGCTGCAGATGTGGGCCTCTTAGCGACCGCCGGTCGAGCACCGGGTAATGGTCCATCGAGGCCGTTTGACCGGTCCGATGGACTGTCCAATGGGCCGCCCTGCCGCGGAGGACGTGTCCTGGCCCCCGGGGTGCCTGGAGATCTCAGCGAGAGGCTGGAGTGGGGGCTGGAATGGAAGGCCATGACGCTCGTCTTTGGGTCGCTGATAAGAAGGAGAGAACCAGTTGGCTCAGACAACACGGAAGGAAATGTCTGACAGACAACGGCCAGACAGCTGTTATCTGGAATTTACATGTCCCCGTCTTGTCGATCATTTAGGTCTTCCGGTGTCGTTCCTCATTCCAAGTCGCCAGCGTTGACCTAAGTGGCCTCCAGACACAGTCAACCTCTTCCGGTTAGCTGAATGTAAATGTCCGCCACTGCGTTATGTAAATGACCGCCATTGACCTGTGTTGACCTTCGCTTTGGTGACCCACGATGACCACCGGCGACTACTTTCGTGCACTATTGATGGTGTGCAGTAACAGCGAACAAATCCAGTATGGTCGTGCATATCCTTTGGTCACGTTTCTGACCTTGAAACGTGCCGTGATCATTGCTCCTCTGAACGAAACATACGAACGTACTTAAGCGCATTCATACTTGTCTCAAGAGACAGGTATGTGATATTGCGCCCACATATATCTGTCTCAGGTGGTTTGGGTCCTCTTCCAGTAGCGTCGCTCGCATTCATTGCGAAATGGGCACTTGCTCTTAACCATTTGAATGTGATGTTTTCCTGACAATTGATTTTTTATCCGATTAATAAATATGGCTTGCAAAGCGCTAAACCAATGCGTAGCATATCAGACCGATGTAATATTATTGAAATAGGAAAGTTAAACAAACTTTGGACATGAACGTCTTGGGTGATGTGGCACAGCTTTTTCGCTCCACAAAATGATGCTTTTCCATCTCATCGAACAACATCTACCTAGAGGAACAGTACGTTTTGCTAAATCATCTTACCCGACTCCCTCGTGGAGGTCATTGGCTCCGGCCGGAGCAAGCAAGACGACCCGACAGCCGCGGCTGTTGCCGTGTCCAAATGTAACTACCGCCGATTTCTGCAGCATCTTTTGGCCGACCGCTCAATCGTGCTGCATCGCGCACACACGTCAGGATTTGCCGGGATTCTCGGTGCAACATGACGCAATGACGATCGTAGATCGTGAGCTGTTGTTTTTAAAGACGCCAACACCGGTTGGCTGAATGCGGACAGTGACGGATTGTCTTGAGTCCCCGTGAGCTGTCTCGAAGAGGGAGTACACATCACCGACACCAATAACCACTCCTTCGTGCAGCTGGAGCTGCCGTCTAATACGGGCTGACATTGTTGAAAAACATCGCGACATTCTTTTACATCCAAATACATATCGGCGGTGATGATCTTCCATTCTTGTCTTGTCTATCCACTCAACCCATCGTCTTTCATTGACTGTCGCTAGTAACATGCTGTGCGCTGCGCCTGTGTAGGGAAGGAACCGCTGTCGTTTCGATCTCCGTCTCAAAAGTGGTCGGTTTTCTCCGTCTGTGAAGGCCCGCGGCGTCGTCGCCGAGGATATTCGCCCAATTAGCCATTGTGAAGAGAATCGGGATCAGCCGGGCACGCGGGACAGCGCCGGGGCTCGGCCGTCGATCGCCAGTCATCTGCATTCCAAATTGGGATCGTAAACCCATAATAACGCTGGAAATGGGCCCCGGTATCTGTAATTGAAATCTGGTGTAGGTGGTGTGTGTGCGATAGGAGGTTTGTGCGCGCCGAGGGACCGGCACCAGTCGGGATCAGATGTCTGCCATGTCCGGGGACAAGTAGTGCTGGCGAGGGAGAGACGGCACTAAGACCACTCAGATGGAGCGAGAGGAACAGGCGAGAGGACGAGAGAAGGAAAGGGAGGGAGGATGGAGGAGAGAAGCCAGGGAGGGAGGGAAAGGGAGATAGGGGAGAGAGAGATATATGCCAGCCTCCGTTGCTGCAGTTTTTGCTACCGCCTTGCGGTTTTGATACAGTTCCGCCTGTAAATGTGTCGCCGACCGAGACGCTGCACCGTCCTGCAACACAAATGCGCCGCAGAGTGAGACTCTCGTCCCATAAATGTACCTCTGAGAAGCATTGCCGTTCGTAAATGCAACCAGCGAGGCTTCCTGCAAATGTGCCAGTACTCGAGACGCTTTCGTCCTGTAAATGTGCTGCTGACGAACACGGCTGTCCTGTGATTGTTCCACCGACTGAGACTCCCCCGTTTTTAGAGTGCCGCCACTAACAGAGACATTTCCTTCGTGTGCCGCAGGTATCTGGGTATGCTGGGATCCGTCCATCGAGGGCCTCAGATGTCCTCTGACCAGCCCTATTCGGCCACACCGGAGGACCACGCGCGCTCCATCTGTGCCGCCCTGCCCGGCCTGGTGGCACGACAAATAGAGGTCAGTTCACACCGTACACACACTGTGCCGCCCTGCCCGGCCTGGTGGCACGACAAATAGAGGTCAGTTCATATGGATAACCAATGAGGATGTGTTTCTGCACCGGAATTGTTGTTGAACTAGGGCCATGAGACTTAACCCGCGACCTGGTGGGGGGGGGGCTATTTTTTGCCCCCCCCCCCTCCAGACTTTTCGATATATCTCCAGAACCACTGCGCCGATCGTCACCAAACTTTCAGTACCCTCCCGGACATCAATTTTACACATTGTGACCAAAAATTTTTCCAAAGGCTATGATAGGTTGGCCGGAAATGACGTCAGAGTGACGTCATGTTCTGCCGTTTTCGACCCAAAAAAGGGTTTCGCGGGAAGAGCTGTCAGGCCTATAGCTTTGCAAATACAGAAAAATGATACAGACATAAAAGCTGTAGAATGGACAGGGCTACAAAACTGCTATCTCGGATTTTTGCAATTTTTGGATTTTGACCCCCCAAAATCAAAAAATATATTTTTTGAATATAATAGCCAAAAAATCCAAAAAGTTTTTTGCATTTCGAAAAAACCGGAATATATGTGATAGTCCTTACCGCCTTCTATCTACATACCAAATTTGAGATCGATACCTCTTTTTTTGGCCAAGTTATAGCGAAAAAACTGTTCAAAATTGATGACGTCAAATTTTCAAACTCAATTTTCAGCAATTCTAGACCTCGTAGCGCAAAACAAAGACCACCATTAGACTCCCCGTGACGAGCTGCATCGAATCAATACCCATTTTATGCAAAAATATCAACTTTGAAATTTGACCTTTTTTGACCTGACCTTGACCTGACCTCCACCAGAAAGTGACCTAAACCGTACCTGATGGTCTTATAACCAACACCATTGAGTTGGAAATGAAAAACTGGCCATAAAACATGCATCGCATAACCTTAGTAAAGTTGGGTTCATGTGGTGACCCTTGGTGACCTTTGGTGACCTGACCTGTGACCTGACCTGGTATGACCAGTGACCTCTAACAGCAACATATCTACTAGGCAAGTGACGCCCTATCGCTGATTCCCGACAAAATGCGTTTTCCTCGGTGT